AAGCTCAGGTCTTCTAAGCAGGAACCCATTACTTACAACCAGGTAAATACGAGTGCATTTAAAGTGGTGTCCTCTTTGCAAGAGATAAAGCACACTTACTTCAGTGGCATCATTGCTCACAAGTGCAATCAGATACTCCAAAATTAGGTGATCGCAGTGTCCAGATACAGAAACCCCTGTTAGTGCTGACTGTCAATAATTTCTGTAAGTCCTTTTTGTAAGTGGCCAAATCACCACCCATTTTTAGTGCCCAAGTAAAGAGAAATTTGAAGAGTGTTTTGCATGTTTTCGGGTGTCTGAAAGGACACTACTAGCTACGCCTTCTAGGCTCATTGCATCTCATTGTTGTCTCCTTTCACAGCTGGGTTATTCCTGTTACAAATTTGTAAGCTTTGACAAGTTTGTTGGAGTCCCTTCATAATTTTTATTAGGATACATTGCTCCCATCGCTGGTACTTTGATCAGGATTGTGAGAAAGACTGGAGATGCTAGGATACACATTACAGGATTAAAAGTACTGACTGTTGTGGAAAAAATGTGTTTTGCAAACCCTATTTAAAAATAAATCCTTTCAAGGACAATAGCAAAAAATCTACCAGACTTCTCTTATATTAGAGACTTTTCTTTGAAGTGTCTAGTAATTGGAAAAAAAAAAAAAAAATCTACGTATCATCAAATGTTTTCAATTTAAGTATTTCAAAGCAGCAAGATTTACAACTGGAGTTACAAGACCAGCACAACAGTCCTAGGTACAGGAGAAACAGTCGGTCGTGGAACAGCTTGTCCCATGTCACACCAGACCTTTTTACTCTGGTCTCCCACTTTTTTTTTTTTTTTTTTAAAAACTGCAAAGCCACCATCCTCTCATCTCAGAGCAAGAACAACTGCTTTCAAACTGAGACACAAATCCAGGGAACAAGGTTGAGTGCAACTAGGACCTCGAATGAATCATTTTTTTCTAAACAGCGTGATAAGAAACTGCAACTGCATCACCACTAAACCACGCTGGGACTTTCAGCTTGTGCATGAGACAAGATGCTCGTCCTGTCGCGTTGTGAACAGCTGCAGATTGTCCCTCATTTGCATTAATAACTCCCTTCATTGCCCTCACACGTGAGGTCAGGGCAAGCAACAGATACTTTTGGCAAGTCTGCTGAGGCCTCATGCAATTAAATTCCAGGGCCCACGTGATGTACAAACTTTGTCTCCTATGTGAGCCCTCCCACTTGTTTTTTCTCCCCTTAAATATACACTACCTCAGTCTTTTACAGCTGACGGCATCTTGAGTCACGCAACATGATGCTTCCAATGCCTGGCACAGAAGAGCTGAACAGTATCTGCCAGCACTGCAGCTTGCAAACAACTGGAAGGAGACAAACTTCGCTTAAATATGCTGGAGAAAAATCCCTATAGAAGCCTGAGTACTCAAGTAACCCTACTCCCAGGGCTTATAATGACTAAATGCAGAGTTTGTGAGCTGTGGGTTACAAACCTGGAATTCACACTCAAGGCTCACAACTATTCAAAACTGGGGGCTGACTCTGCAATGACAATAAAAGGATCACGAGCAAAGTAAGAAATCACCGTTTTGTCTGTAGTGATTTTGCACAACCAGGATTGCATGCACGTGTTTCAGATTCTAGTCTGTTCCCATTGCATGCGTTTGGGTGAGTTTGAGAAGCGCAGGCACCCATTTGTGTATACGAGGATTTTGGCTGAGCCCTTGTGATGCTCCAAGGCAAAAGTTGGGGTTCCAGCATGTGCACCAGCAAAACAAGGCAGGGTGTTGGCCCAGATTCTGCTCTTGCATGTGACATTTGTTACTAAAAGTGACATCATGTAATAGTTGAGCCCAGGCCTGAAAAAAAATACCACCATGTAGACATCTTATCCTGAAGTATCTACCTCAGCATTTTTTTAAAAAACAATTTTAATACTATATTTACCCTATTAGCAGTCCGCATCTTAGAGTCTCTAACACATTGAACTGTTAAGGCCAGGCTCTTGACCAACATAGGGAAAAAACCAAAACCTAGTTTATTTAACAGCGCCTCGGTTTATTACCAATGCCACTTACACTCTAGCACTATACTCAGAGGCAGCTTCTGTCTTCCTGACCTCGTGATACGAAGACACACAAAATAATTGCTGTTCTTTCCCATCTCACCTTCCTTCTCTTGTGCATTGGGTTCACGTCTTTTCTTACCTTTTGTCCTTTCCAGGGTGAAGCAGCTTGTCAGCAGATTAATGCAGAAGTTTATCTGGAGTGCTCAGCAAAATGTCGTGAAAATATAGAAAATGTTTTTAAAGAAGCAACAACCATTGCACTGAACGCCATGAAAAAAGCCAAGCGCCAAAAGAAACGGACAGTGTGCTCAGTGTTATGATCTGGACTGCAAGAGAGTATCAACTGCACGAGAGCCAAGCAACTCGGATTTTAAGAAAAGTGTAACTTTAAAGACCATTTTTTTCATTACATATTTTCATATTCCTAGAACAATTTTTATTTTAAAATTTTAATTTAGTATTTTTGCACTTTCGTTGCACTGCTTTCCCAAAGTTTTCAAAGCTCTTTATCAAGGTTAACTGATGCTGCATGCCTTTGTCCATCTGGCTTTTGCTCCTAACTGCAAACGACCACCACTCAAGTCTTGGACTCACTATTTAAATGGCAACGAACAGCAACTGCTACTATATGACTTAATTAGTGGGTTTTTTTCCTCTGCAAAATAATTGTGGCATGCTATAACTACAATTTACTGTCTTTTTCAAGCAGAAAAGCTGAAAAGCCACATCAGGCACCTTTGAAGAGACAAAAATTAAGTTCTGTCTTAACATTTTCAAATTAATTTACTTAGTGGCAGTGGTATGAGTTAGCCTCAAGCTGCCCCCAGAGAGCAGAGATGGAGCAGCTACTACGTGTAATGTAAATTACAGTTTTACAATAAGCTTATATAGCTTATTTAATACATGACAGATGCAAATATTGGTGCATGCTAGGGGAAATACTTAACTCCTCTTCATTAACTGATGAGGTAATCTCTACTGCTATAAATTAAAATCTTCCCTTTGTGATGAAGGTGTCAGTTGTCTGTTTAAGGACAAGGGATGCTCCCACACGTGCTGCCTCAAATCTTGTAGTTCTTTTGCACATCTCATGCAGTGAGATCTCAGATTCCAGGAGTCTATTAGACAAACATCACACATAGAGCCTGGTAACTACATCAGATGGATTTCATGCAGCTTTATCCTCTGCTGGATACCTGACCAGCTGGTGAAAACCTGTTTTGGAGCGAGCCATCGTTATTGTTTCACTTGCAGGGTAAAGAGATCTTGATCCTTGAAATACTACTTTTTTTCCCTTTCTTTCTTCCCCTAACTTGTTTTGATTTAATTAAGGTTTGTGAATCCCTATAAGCTTAAAATAGAAAATTTAAAAAAAAAATAAATTACAAGTTTGTGCACATCTTTGCCTATTGAAAAATCTGGAAGAATCATGCAGCCCTTTCTCCACGAGAAGACATTTGTCAGTAAGACACAGAACTGCACATGACCTTACCCAGAACAAAACTGAAACATCAACGCGCAGGAAGTTACCGCGTTTACCCTCAGCTCCGCGCCAGGAATCTTTGTCGCTTTTTTAATCTGAGGTTTCTCATGCTGCAGAACTCCAGTTACTCACCATGTGCAGAGGTCCCCACCCCTGGAGAACCAGGTCCAGTGCTCAGATCCAGCAGGTTCCAGCATCGCTCTCAAAATAAAACAATTTACATTTCATAAGTGGAGAAGTCAAAGGATAAAAAAAACAAACCCAAACGTCACAGGGTGTGCAAAAGTCAAAAGTTACAGCCCAGCTAGTGTGAAAGTTGTTCAAAATATGCAAATTGCAATTTATTGTTCATGCCCACAGGACAGTGACACTGTAAAGGTAATTTTGCTAACCTCGCAGCAACAGAAGAACTGATGAAACCATTTCAAGTCTGTAGTGCATACATATACTTCTTCATGAGCGCGCTTCCTGGGAGAAGAGCGTAATTTTCAGATCACCCTCTGCCAAAACACATGCCTGATTTGGGCTTTGTGCTAGCTCAAAGGAAGCCTTCGCTGTTGGGAAAGACGCTGCCCAAAGCGACTCACGATGCTGCAGTTGGCCTTAGGAGGTACAGATCTTACAGCACCCAGGACAAGCTTATTTGAATGAGTAACCTGAAGTTCAAGCAGCACAAGGAGTTAGGCAGGACTGCAGGCAGTATTTGTGCTCTGCCATCCTCCTGAACGAGTGTTTACATTCTCTTAACTATTGGTACAAGCGCAGCGTCCAAAGAAAGTATTAAATATTTCCGCTGAGCCTGTCCTCCCCTTTCCAGAACGGCATTGGGAGCAAAAAAATACTGAAATACTGAAATACTGAAAATGGAAACTGAAGTGCAACTGCGCTTATTGCCACTGATCAAGGCCATTTTAAGGAAAAAGCATCTCGAAAAAACAACCTGAAGGGTGTTGTATTTGTTACTAAAAATGGGCTGAAGCAGCTGCATATTGGATGGTTTATTTTAGGTCTTTTCCAGGCCTGGACAGATGACCTGGTCTCCCTGGAAAAGAGCTAGCAGACTTCCCTGCCATTTAACAACTGGTTTTGCTTGTTTGGTTTTGTTTTTAAAAGAGGATTTTCCTCTTCTTTAAATAGTTTTTTTAAAAGTGTATATAGCAGCAGTATGGTACAAAGATGGGTATTTTTTTTTTTCACAGTACACACAGGTTAGTATTGCCACTGAAAATATGCCTTAAACAAATGCCTTTAAAAAACAGCATTCGGTCTGTATTACTGATCAACCTGGAGTGTTCATAAACCTTTGCAAATCCAATATCAGGAATTTAAATAATAAAACTGGAAAGTGTTAAATACCATTCCAGAACTGGAATTACAGTAGATCCCACATTTTCCCAATGCTGGCACTTTGCTGGGCAGGTGCATGCTGCTCTATATACATAAAAAAAAAAAAACCCCAAAGCAAACATGTTTTGTATTAAATATACATAAATAGCAGGACCGCGGACTGGAGAGCCATGCTTGAGTTAATACTGAGTCTGTGCTGGCAGAGTCCGTATCCTTCACCAAACACGGGGGCGGATGAGTCCTTCCAAGCCCGTCGATGGTGCAGCTGCAGTTTATAGCAGGATCTGTCCCGAAGCCAGCGCCTGCTGCAGGCGGAGGGACGGTGGCACCCAGTGTTGGCATCTGTCACACCAGGGAACAGGGATTCACAGCTTCTTCATTTTGTCTTTGTTCTTCTGGAGTTTAGTGTGCACCACTTTGAGAGTAGTGAGGAAGTTCCCGAGGAAGAGCAGCAGAAACGTGAAAGCCAAAACAAAAACCTGAGATGGGAGAAAGAGATTAAAAAAGAAATAAATAAAGGTGAGAGCTGAGTGTACTGCTTTGGCCACGTTCAAGCGAGCTCCGATGGGGCTTGGTTGGCAAATCCAGGGATCAGTTAGCATGGAGATCCAAGGAGAGAAAATCACAGCCAAATCTACAACCACGCATCCAGCTGTGTGGGTTAACAAGAACTATATTTTTATCATGATCCTTTAAGGAGCATTTACTACTTTTTAATATTACAACATGGCTTATATTCAACACTGCTGGACTCTACCAGACAGTAAAATCAAAGCATCAAATGCAATCTAATGGATTAGCATTGTGCTACAAGCACATTCATCGAACAGCAGTGGCACAGGCATGGGGGAATCACACGTTTCTGTGGGAAGGCGTGTTCCTCCTGCACGAGGCGAGCACACAAGTTACAGCAAGATCTGACCAAAATAAAGACCATCAGGTTATCTGCACCACTGCATGCATGATGTGCTCCAGTCTGGATCCAGAGGAGCAACTGTATAGCTGGAAAATGGACAGACATGTTTGATGGGTGACAGCAACTGAGAAAACAAGCGGAAGGATCCCTAAAAGTGGGGCAATAAAGTGGCTAATATGTTTTTAAAGTGATTCACTGCCATTCCTTTTTTTGTCACTGTATTTTTGGATGTGTAACCCCCTGGTCAGCCATAATGAACCACCAGCAACTCCGCAGCCACTGCTATTAAACGCCCATATACGTGAACAATATGGAGAGCTATTTACCCACACATATTTTCTTCCCCCTACACCCTCTGCCTTTCAGTTTGCGTGGTCACCCACAGGTGGATGTTTCCTTACGGTAACTCACATGTATTTTGAGTTCTTTTGTATAGGCTCTGTGCCACCTCATCCCGAGATATTTAGATGGGGTCAGATACCAAAATATCTTTAAAGATGTGGTTAAACACCTCCTCTCCCTCCGCTCCATGCTTTTTCTGAGCAGAACCAACACCCACCTGCCATTCTTTGCACTCCTTATGCCTTGACAATCCAAAAAGCGTGATTGCATTATATAGCTGCCAGAACTAAAAAGGAAAAAAAAAAAAGGGCAATTTAATTACTAGCAAAAATCCCAAACCTTAGAAACATTTGCCGCAGGTGCACGTGATCTAAAGCACATTTTTAGAGTGCTGTAACTGCAGCGGCAGACCCTCCCAGGTCCCGCACCACAGAGGGAGGAATGGGGTTACCCGACTTACATGCCCAAAGAACAAGAAGGGAAGGAGAAACGTCAGCCCCCGCCACATCCAGGACTGAAATCCTTCTGGAAAAGGTTAGCAGAAGAGGCAGAGAGTGAGCACAGAAGAGCCAGGACCGGAGCTGCAGCCCTCCCCACCCAGACCACCCCATAAGGGCTATTCCCATCCTGCTCCGCAATAACCAACCGATTTAAAACGCAGACTTGAAGGTGGGGTAACGGGAGGAGGATGGGGATGACCAAAACCTCCATCTTAACCCTCTCAACGGCTGACAGAGATGAGAGCCCCCTGCTCCCCACCACAGGACCCGAGGAGGGGGATAAAAGCCTCGGTTCCCCTCCTGCCGTAGGACACGGGCAGCAGGGCAGGGGGTGGTGGCTCTGCAAAGCCACGCAGCCTTCTCCCTGTCGCTGCATCTAAAACCTGCGCAAAAACTTCGCAAACCAAGTACGGCAGAAAACCTCACCTACTGTAAGGTCCAAGTGGTTTCTCTCCCCCAAAGCACGGAGTCTATAAAGGCAGCCTCTTTGATAATAATATTGTAGGAACTGAACGCAACCTGGACAAGGAGAGAGAAAACATCATTTCACTGGCTATTGAGAAGTATGATAAACAAACTATTTTAATAATGTTTAATCCAACAGCATTTAATTATATTTGCATGGTATGGTTTATATTTGTATGGTTTAATACTCCAGTATTTACCAAAAAGATTCTTCTGAGCATGCAAGATACAAAATTTGTTTCATCCCGTGAATTAACAAGGTAAGATATACTCACTCTGAAATATTGAAAACGCTAAAAATTGACTGCGAAACATTTGATACATGAGTCCATCTGGCCTGAAAGCAAAATACAAAGGAGGTGTATTTGTTTGATAAAAAACATAGGATGCCGTGCCCTTCCCCTTCCCTGCCAAGCCAGATCCCATTAGCAAACGAAGCGAGCAGCTGGTACCCAGCCCGCTCCACCCCATCGGGAGCCCAGAGAGGGTGCTACAGCCGCACATCACAACTCGGGCGCGTAGGAAATGCTCTAATCGATTCGCTTTCCCCTCTCAAATATGTATGAGTGCTGCCTCCTCTTAGTCATTTGCTTATCGCTATTCCCTAGGCAGCAATCAAAGCTGTTCAGCTACCTAAGGGTAGTTTGGGGTAGATAGAGGACAGGGGACCTTCTGCTCCAGCTACTCTCTCATCCCCGTACAGATTCAGGAGCAGAAACACTTGCTGTTTTAAAACCATTTTTAATTATTAACTAATCAGTTGATGCCAAGTTGAGAAAGGTTGCACAGGGGCTGTACACGGGGTGCATCGCTGCGTTGTTTGACCAACCCACAGGATGGTAACTTGCATTTTTGGCTTTATACCCTGTGTGTAATCTGGGTTCAGCGAAGGCACCAAACAGATTGATTTTGTGGTGTCCTCCCTCTAAAGTTTAGTTCCACAGAGACAGAAATCGGGAGACTTGCAGAGATTTTTGCTGCCATCAACACAACTATGGCTTAGGGTTTGGGTTGGTTTGGTTGGTTTTTTTAAACAGCAATGTAAATCCAAACTCGCAGTGTTATATTTATCATAGAAGACATGTAACATCAGACAAATATTAAGTTTGATGCTTTGCCGTATGCCTGTGCGGCCACAGCTTTGTGGTCACGCTGGATTTAAACGCTCAGATGATGCAAACACCGTGAAACAGGCTTGAAGCACCTCGAGCAGGGGAGAGCAGACTCACCACGTTAACATTACTCCAGACAGGAATGTGGAAACGTAGTGATGAGACACCCACCAGCCTTTGATCCTGGACAGAAAAGACGTGGCATTTAGATGAGAAACATGGATTTTAGCGTTGTAAGTCTGGCTTTCCAGACAAAAAATGATCCTGACTTGGGGGAGGAGGAAGGACAGAGAACAAAATAGACGGCCCAGCTCCAGCGAAAGGGGTGCTGCGGAACGATCTCCTGGCAATACGGCTTAGTTGGGGGCACAAATCCACGACCGCTGGAGGGAGGCTGAGGACCGGGACGCATCCCGTGTGCTCCCACAAGCTCCCCAGCACAGCAAGAAGCAGCAGTTCCTGCAGCACAAGGTACCGCGGTGACTAACGATGCACAAGTTTCAGCCCACGCACCCTTTGTTTTTTTTCCCCCCTGCCATGCAAATAAGCGACGTTTCCAAGTCCTTCCTATGAGGTCACTGTTTCTTTCAGACACGACCGCTGCAGAAAGCTCAGAAAATCACAGTAAAGTGAGCAAAGGCTGTAGCGAGGCAGAATCAAGAAGTGAAGAGCTTTAAAAACTAAACCAACACGATGGGTTAATTCTGGGTGTCTCCAACCAGAAGTGTGTAACCCTCAACACAAGACAGCACCAACCGACTGCGATGGGGATGCAGCGAGCCCAGGCTCAGCCAGAGGCTTCTCTGTTGACCTCAGGCAAGCGACTTTACCCCCCTGTGCTTTGGTTTTTCTGCTGCTGCTCTGGCCCCACAGCGATTCCCCCCCCATCTCCAGAGAGCACCCCAAAACAAGACATCCCTCCCGCAGCAGCCCTGGGGCCAGTGCTGGGAACTGTGTCCTCAAGCAGCTCCCAGAAATCAGCACATTTTTAAGACTTTGTCCCCCCCCGGGCAAAGCAGGGGGACCCCGATTTTCCCAGCGCACACACCACAGCAGTGCCTGCCTCCAGGCACAAACCCCTCTCGCGTACAAACTCTCCGTGCAGCGGCTGGAGCAGGAGTGAGTGCATGACGCTGGGCTAACGTGATGCTGGCTGCTCAAAAGGTGGCAAACAAGACACATTAAAAGTCCAATAATTAAATACAACAGGGAGCTGCAAATATTGCAGCAGGAGCAGCTGCTCACCCAGCTCCAAACCAACCTGCAGACTCATGCCTGGGAAGAGACGTGGTGATTGCTGCGGTTTCCCCCGCACCAGCCTATCTGGATGATGAAAACCAGGGACGTACAACCATCAGGTTATTGCTAAAACCTAACACCAGACCCCAGGTTAAGTTACACAAGTACAAAATTGAGCAACTTCTCAACCCAGACCTAACAGAGATGGTCCAGAAGCGATTCACCAGCAGGACCTTGCCACCCTGCCATAGAGGAATGAGGGCTTGGAGTAAGGATCATCTTTCAGTTAACTCCTCCCAGGGTTTTACTCGTGTTCCCAGCCCTTTATACAATTATCTCTAACGGCCAACTTTCCCTCGACACTAATTTAGTCAAACGCTCCAGGAGATGTGGCAGTGACCATAGAGCCAGTACCTCGAGTTGGTCCTTTCACCAAAAACACACACACTGACACCCCAGACCATATCTACAAGGAATCCGTACCTACCAAAACCATCCAAAACTTTGGACCAAGAGTTTATGGACTTTTAGGAACTGCACCTTCTCGTCCCTCTCCAAACCTCAGGTGGCCAACATCTGCCCTTGGACATGACCAGGGAGGGGGACGGAGACAGCAGACCCTGCAAGGAGGCATCAGCATCTCGGATTTGCTGGGCTTCAGTGCTAAGCTGAATCCCCTTTTATTGCTTGTTTTTCTTTTAAGGGCATTTCATGCTTTAAGTAGTTTTGCAGGTGGTACGGTACCTTGATCCGTTGCTAATGAGAATGCTTTCCCGTATCGTCAGCGTGCAGTAATACCACACTAACAGAAAGTTAAACACTTCATCTGTCACCCTGTTAAATAGAAAAAACACACAGTAAAAAAAAAAAAAAATCCCTATTTTTTCTCCTTCCCTTTGGGCGAATGCAAACCTGCCCAAGTGACGCCACGGTCTCAGTCCTGAACATCTCTAATCCCCATGCAGAAGTGCACATATCGGCAGCACCGCCGGGCTCCAAGCCCTTTCCTCCGGGAAGTGCCCGCGATACAACACTGCAGATCTCGAGCCGATAAGCAGGTACGCAGAGATGACATTAATTTTTTTTCTCCTTCCCTTTGGGCGAATGCAAACCTGCCCAAGTGACGCCACGGTCTCAGTCCTGAACATCTCTAATCCCCATGCAGAAGTGCACATATCGGCAGCACCGCCGGGCTCCAAGCCCTTTCCTCCGGGAAGTGCCCGCGATACAACACTGCAGATCTCGAGCCGATAAGCAGGTACGCAGAGATGACATTAATTCCTTCCGAAGGAGAGAAAGCACCATGGAAGCAGCGGATGATCCAATTTACAGAGGCATTTCCAGGCTAATTCAATGAGGAGATTCCATGAGATCTATATAAATCCAATCAACTAAAAGAGCAGAGGAGCATTACACTCTGGGGAGGAAAAAAAGCCTTTATTTTGCCATTTGCAAACCCCTGAAGCCAAGGGGATTTGGGACGGCCTCTGTGCGCAGCAGCAAGGTTCGTAAGTGCCCGGCTCCTGGTTTTTAAGCAAAAACTGAATGCTGGAAGCTTGTTGGTGCTCAGACACTTTATCACGACCTAGAGATAATGTTTCAGGTCTGATCATTTCATGCAAATCCTCTCTTGTTGCCTTTGCAAACCCAGAGCTGCAGCACGGTGCCGGTCCCTGCCTGGGACAACCCACGAGCAAAACCAACTGCTCGTTCCCGAGCACGGCACGATGCCAGAGAAATAACAGATAGGGAAACACAATGTTGGACTTCTCTTAGTTGCCAGAGACTCCAAAAAAAGTTAAACAAAGAAAAGCAAGTAGCTAAAATACAGGTCCTGCCAGTGTTGGAGAAGAGGTGCAGAAGCTGTCCTGCTGTCCAACTGCTCAAAACCTAACCGCTGCCAGAGCCCGTCTCACCATCCTTAACAGAAGATAAAGTAGTTCAAATCCAGCAGATTTGCATTCAAAATATTTGATTAAAAGTAAAAATGCAGCTTACCTGTAGTGGAGAATAAACCTGCAGGTGACGGCCCCGAGTAACAAGATTATTGTCAGATAAAGTTTGAACTTCTCATACTCATCCTTGTAGGCAAACCTGGAAGGGAACACAAACGGGTGCTTTACCGGAACGTGGCTTCACTTCTTCCAAACCAGATACAAATACACACGCCAAGCCCAGAGACAGAGGTTTTCCTTGAAACATTTAGAAAACCAGCAGACAGCGGTGAAAGGCAGCGTTCTGCCTGCAGGGTCCGTCTAGGCTGCACGGCCATTACGTTGCAACACAACAGCTTAAGTCCATACGAGCTGGTTTCTGGGTTGGCATGGTAAGATGTAAAAAAAAAAAAAAAAATTTAAAAAAATCTCCATTTTCTGGAGCATCGTATGCCTAGAAGTCACAATACCACTTTTCATTGCTAACCCTCCCCTTGTAATTAAGGCAACAGGCTGGGCTTAAAAGCAAACGATGGACCGAATCCATCGGAGCTACACAAAGCGTTAGCTTGGCCCCGTGTCACGGCACAACTTGCCCACCCTTGACAATTCATCTTCTATCAGATCTAAGAGAAAACCATCCCCGTCTCTGGATTTCAGTCCATACCCACAGCTGGTCCCAGAGAAACCCAAATTCACACGTGCGGAAACGCTCACTCACTTTGCTTGGTTACTCAGGAGAGTTACATTCACGTTTCCCAGCACCAGATTTAAGTACAGGCTGGAAGACAAAAAGTAAGTCTGATTTATCTGAACGCTGCGGGATGACACAGATCAGAGCCGAAGAGAACGGCGCATCTACCGAAGCCACGTTTACTGCAGGTTTTTAATTAAGGCAAACTGGAGAGCCTGACTACAGAAAAGGATTTAAACATGGCAAGATTGGTCAGCATTTCCAAGAAGTTAGAAAAAAGGTTTATTATCCTGGTCCCCTTTCTGCGCTACAGTCTAAGGGCGAGCTATGCAGCATGCACTGACCAAACTCAAAAATAACGGGGAGAAATTGGAAGAGAGGTTTTTGATAGACGTTTCTGAGGGGTTGCGGCATCGCACAGCCCTTAACGCCTGAAATAAATCTGTCCTAGCAACCCCACTGGGAGCAAAGTATAAACTTAAAGTTGGTTAAAAGCACTATTTAAAAAAAAAAAAGAGAAAATTCCTGTGCTGATTTAGTCTTAAAAAAATTAGCAAAGGAAAACATCAGTGTGAAACGCTGAATTGCGTGATCTCTCGCCAATGCAGGGTTACTTTTATTTTAACAAAAACCCCTGTACTGCCTACACGCAGTACGCTAATGAATTCTGTGTACAACTGACACAGCAGCTCAGCAAGAGATTTATGACTAATCCAGTTCTACATGTATTTCTTCAACATGCACATTATCCTTCGGGAACACCACTGCTGTGAACACTTAAGGGAAAAAAAAAAAAAAAAAAATCAGCCTTCCTGGAGCGCGTGCCTCCCCGGCGAAGCACGTACCCGTTCTTCTTCGGCAAGTAGGCTTCCATGTCGAAGAAGGCATTCTGCCTCTCCTTGATCTGGGTGCTGATCTCCTGAATGAGAGCAAACTCTTCAGGACTCGCTCTGGGCTTGCACCTGCAAGAACACAGAAACAAGATACTCCTGTTCATGTTTTTACCGCCTTTTTATTTAAAGGAAAATAATGTTGTCATAAAATCCACGCTTCTAAAAAAGCTAATTTTGTGAGTTGATGCCGTCATGCGTTTTGCTCCTGTATTCCTGCAGTATCATTTGGCTTACCGCGATTTTATTTCACTGCCTGGTTTACGCCATTGTAGGTTATTTCAACCGGCTGGTTTATAAGTCAGCTTCTCTTTTCATCTCATTCTGTATTTCTTCCCTAGCAAAGCACTTAGGGAAATATTGTGCTTTTTTGCAGGAACTCCTTCCACTTTGGGAACATTGTGCGTGGTTTCTGAGAGGCTGCAGCTCTTCAGGCATGAAATATTTCAGGATGTACCAAAACACACAGCTGATGATTTACTGGCAAACTGCGGTTTTACCAATTAATGTAAAACAGAGAGCACAGCACAGCGGCGTTAGCAACCCGCGGTGTCAGAGGTGGTGTTTTCAGACCTGCATACAAGGAATTTGGCCCGTGGCTCCCGGGGATCAGCCAAAGACAGTTCCCTCCTGTAAATCCACCTGGAAGCGAGTTACTCCTTCAGGTTCAAGGATTGATGCTGTTCTTCCAGCATGTTTTACGGAGCAAAGCTTTGCTCACCTAGCAAAACATACGGACCCAGAGCTGCACCCGTTCAGCAGCGTGTAAGACCTACTACAAGGATGCAAATCTAGACAGGCTCCCTCAGTGCTTGGGGAAGGAGAAACATCCCATCCCCACCTCCTCCACCCTCCAGGTCTCCCGTTACCGTTGCAGGCTGTGCTTCAGGTCCCTTAGTGTCTTCTTCTGCCGGTGGATGGAGCTGCTGCAGGCTGTCTGCAAGCTGGTGACTTCCTCCAGTTTCTGCCTGTAAACTTTGTGTGTTTCCTGCAGGAAAAGAGGAGATGATTGGTAGGAAGAACCCTTCTAGGTTACACGTTGCATTTGGTCCTCACTTCTGAAGGAAGCAAGCAAACCCCTGGTTTTTTGGGGAGTCAACAGGCACCCCTGCAAACAAGCAAGGAAGGGGTAATGCTGAACCAGTGAGGATCCAACATGGCTTAAACGGACATTAATGAAGTTCCTGCAAAACCCAGAGCATCCTCTCTGCGCTCGTCTCATGTCTTCTTTCTAAGGAGCTTTCCCACTTGGGAGCACCCTGCTCCCATCCCACCCTGTAACGTTATCCTCCTTGATCCCAATCTGTCCCCATCAAAGGGGTGGCTAAGTCGCAGAGCAGGATCTCAGATTTCACAGCCAGATTAAATCTGGGGAAAGGGGAAAAGAAAAAAAAAAAAAAAAATAGACCCAGAGGGGAAAAAACACAAAGCCAGCTACAGACCCACCCCTGGGGGTTTAGATGCCTCCTGGCCACCTCGACCCCATGTATATTCAAGCAACCTGTGTAAGAGCTTAACCCGCCCCCTCCCTGCAGTAATAGATGCTCCTTGAGAGGAACTTCTTTATCACAGCTCCTTGATCCTCTGAAGCCCCGAATTAGCGTTTGACTGGCCGTAACCAGGACACGCTAACCAACTGCAAGCCCGCCGAGAGGTGCCCCTGCTCTCCCACCCCTCCCTCTGCTCGGCAATAAACAGGCTCTACTTTTCCCCCGCTTCGCAATGATTCCAGCACCCTCCCAAGTGCAGGGAGACCTGAGGAAGACACCTAACGAGACAACGAGCAACAACCTCCGGGCAATTTTCCTTTTAAGGTCTCTAATAGCTTGGAAAACAGAGTCTGCAGAGTTAGCGCTGAGAGAAGGCAATGGGTTACACGGCTGTTGTGCCGGCTGCTTTATCTACTGGCACATCAATGACGGCAGAAAATTACCACTGGTTTTACAAAACAAATCTTTGCTCTCTTCCTCGTTAGGACCTGGCTGTTGGCTGTTCATCATTTACAGGAGCAATGCAAAACAAGCTCCGCTATCCAATTTAAAAACTTTAACAACCAAACTAACCACGTCCAGGCACCGCAGCTCTCACCGTTTCAGGATTGGTTTTGGCTTTGCCTTAGCATGGGCAGGACTTCGGGGCTCCCTGGATTGCAGTAACTTGTTCAGCTTCTCTGGATGTCACGCAACAACGTCTTTGGAAAGGCTGCTTTAAAGGGTGTAAGAAGCTTTTTGCCAAAAACGTGTTTGAGTATTTATTGGAAACACAAACAGGCGAGTTGAGAGCTGGTACAGTCTACTGCTAACTAAAACCATCAGGATAATGATTTCAAAATGACAGCGATATTTAGAAGAACATAACATTTGCTATTTATTCATCAAGAGAGGCGATTGCTTACAAAGGGCACCCACCGGCAGCGCAGGGAGCTCAGCACCGCCGTTAGGTTATAACACGTATAACCCACAGGGCAAATACCTGCCTGTGGGTCGGGTTCGGCCACAGTGCTCGCGGGAAACGTCACGCGGGGAAAAACAAAGGACCTGTGCACCAGGGAGAGGAGTGGTTTTGGTCCGAGTTGAAGAGCTCCCAGTGGAGATGGCAGAGCCATCTCTGCACCCAAGTTGGCAACTTTTACAGCGTCGGGGCCACAACTGCCCGTTTGCGAGTGGAAATCACGCTGCCCAATTTGCCTGCAGACTAAGGGCAGGCAGCAGTCCGGCACGGCAGCCCCACGCTGCAACGTCTTTACGTTTACCGTAGGTACCCCGAGGTCTATTTTCCATCGCACTCACAACAGCCCTGCTTTTGGTCAGCACTTGTTCGTTTGCAGGACTCAAACCACATTCGTGGGGAGCCTAATCAAAACCGGCTGACGTGTTCATACACAGCGTTTAAATTAATAAGGTGCTGCAGGACAACTTGCATTTTCCCATGTCCCTGCCCCCAAAACTGCAATGGCCCGCAGCCCTGAGCTCTTTTTCAGACTGCTGCTCCAGAGACGAGGCCCTGCCCTGGCAACCCAAATGCTAAAACCCCGCAGATGTGGCTGCTTAGAATTGCTTTGTAAACCTGGGATGTCCCCCAACGCCATCTCACTGCTGGCCCCGCTGCCCCCAGGGGATGCTCAGTGCTGCCACGCAGCAGCGTCAGCCCCTTCGAGGCCCGGCAGGTCGGAGCTCCCCAAACACAAGATTAGCCCCGAGCGCCCCGTGCCAGCCACCCGGTCCATCAGGGGCAGGAGCTACGAGCAGAGTCCGAGGTCCTCCTCTGCAGGAGGAGGAGGACACAGCCCCGACCCAGAACTTACAACACAATTAGAAAATACGAGACAGGGCAGGAACGCATCGAAACAGATTGTTTTGCCCCACGGAGCCGGCACTACTCTTGATACACAAAAAATCTGCCCACCATCAATTTTTCCCCCCCCACTGGTATTGCACAAGAGACCTTTTTAACGGGGGTGACCAAAATACCTCGGAAGTGCCACCAGGGAGCTCCTTCCAAAGGCGAGCAGCAGCTCCCGTACGGCCCCGGACCAGCATTTCCAGCTGGAGACGCGAGTCAGGCAAGCCAAAAAAGGCGCTGAGGGGGGGTGCTGCAGATGCACGGGGATCAGGCTGCTGCCGGGAACACCCCGCTCCTCAACAGCGAGACATGCTGCGAGCGTGTCCAAAAAGCCACGTGCAAGCGCGAGCAGACACCAACATCAAAGTACTTGCTTACTAAACAGTTGGGATTTTTACTTCACACATCAAGGTTTGACTTGAATCCAGTTCGGGAGCACAGAGCCTTCCTCCAAAGCACATTTAAGCATCACCAGCACCGTGCAGAGCTGGAGCAGAGTCACATCCTCACGTCAACACCGTGTTCCCCTCTTCTGCAACACCACGCTCAGATACAAACTCCGCTCGTGAGCCCTGAAGCTCTCAGACGATGGACGTTATTCCAACTTTTCACCTCTGAAGTACTAACCACTGGGCGACGACACCTCGTGCCACCAGCAGCTGCCACCCCACCGGGAAGCCCTTCTGCTTTCTTTTTACGGAAGGGGAAACTGAGGCAGGGATCACTCACTGGCATTTTCCTGTGGTTTAGGTCAGACCTAAGCAGCATGCTTGGCAAGAAGGCCGGTCAGCGCACGCAGCAAACGAGCGATCACCAAAAGCACGCCAGCTGGTGCTCCCCCCCAACGCCCAGCCACCACCTTTCCTCCTGTTAACAAGCGTCCTACCTGAACTGACTTTTAATTAAGACAACGAGCTAAATCTGGAAATCGCACCTTTTTTTGGCGGCCCACGTTCTGTTTAACAGCCTAAAAGAGGCTAACAGCCACGCAGAGCGAGACCAGCCGGTCGTGTTTTAAAACTGGCTTACAGATTCACAGCACGTGTATAGGCGCAGCGTCGACGACATACGGGGAAGGGAACGTTTCTGGAGGTAAAAGCGTTTTGCAGAAACGGCTCTCAGCCCTCCCTCCGAGGTCATTCCGTCCCTCGACGCGCTTTTGCGAGATGGATAAACAGCACTGGAGGCCCTCGTATCCCGGAGTCCCTCACATCCCACTGCGGGAAATTAAAAGCACGGCCAGGCGATGATCTCGGCGCAGGCGTTACCCACATCGCTCCTTCTGCCGTGCTACGGGTGCACGAAAACCCCAGGCCCCCGTTTTCCACCCTTACCCCAGCAGTGGGAACCGCAGCACCACGTCCCCTCAGGTGCACCATCAGCTGTACCGGGGACACGGTCACGGTTCGTTCTGGGATGTCCCGTGTGCCCACAGCACCTGCCTGGGGGTACCGGGGCGCAGAGGTGTTTCTGGGGTGCTGCGCAAGGATGCGCGTCCATGCACGGCTGCGCTTCGTGCGC